ATTAACACCATCGACAGAAATTCAGTTATCAGCTATTTATTCTCATGGAAAAAAGAACTTGCTTGTTAAATTACCTGATGTTCAACAACAAACAAATGGATATGACTGTGGTGTTTATGCTATTGCCAACATGGTGGAATATTGTCATAAAGAAAAACTCAACACTCAAAGACGTACGAAGTTTATTGAGAAATACATGCGACCACATTTAATATCGTGTTTGGAAAAAGGACATTTTACACCATTTCCTCAAAATACAACATCAAGTACAGACTTTGTTAGGATTTTTGCCAGAAGAATTTGGTCAGGTCAAGTTTTCTAACTCTTAAAAATATTTTTTTTAATTTTTTTTCTTTTATTTAATAAATTAATGTTGTCATCTTGCTTGGTTCCAAATTTAAAGTAAATCCTTTAAATAATGAAAACGTAATTAGCATTTTCATATCCGTCAGGACTTTGTCAGGACATTGTCAGGACATTGTCAGGACATTAGTGTAACCCCACGATTTCATCGTGTTCTCGTCCAATCTGCGTATGGGCCATGGCGTTGATCCAACTTTTCCTTCTTTTTAAGTCATTTGGAAATGTATGTCCTCCTCTTAAATGACATCCAGGTACACAACAACAAGTACTTGGCATCGTTAATTAAAAATTCAACTGTAATAGTTGCACAGTGCAGAAACCGGAATCGGCTACCACGGCGCCACCTATTCAGGAACGATAATTTGCTACTTTATATAACTGCGAAATAACAATAACGTTAGACGGTTTCGCGTGCATAAACAGAAACGCTCTTTAAATTGTATAATATAATTCATGTTCAGTCGACCTTTAATTATTATATCAACGACTGAAATGATTTATAAACATTGCAGATAACACTCGAAATTAACCCGACCTCTCTCCACACGGAATTCAAATAATTCTAGTTTGTCAATCGGTTGACTACTTATAATGTAAAATACAAAAGTATCAAAAGTTTTTAAAACTAACAAAACACAATGATCGTTTCTCTATTTCCCAATGTAAATGAAATGAGACAAAAAACATTTTATACCACAATAAGAAGAGGAGAGAATCAACATTTTCCGGATCTACTTGGAGCTAAATGACCCCCCACGTAGATAAGTTGGATATCGCGGAAAGAAATATTAACACGGCAACTAGAAAGGCATTAAAGCACTGCCTTTAAAAAACCTCGCATTCATAATTTCAGAAGTGATTTTCTATGATGAGTGTATTTCCTTCACACGGGTCAGTTGAGCTAATTAACATTCTAAAAAGGAATAGCTTAAAAGTTAATGAAATTCTTTTTCCAACAAGACATGTAATATTTAATAATTTAATAAGTTTGGTAGCAAGTATACTTTTCCATTATGCTTTCTAGATTTTGATATTGTTTTTTTTTCATATTTTTACATTAGTGGAAAACCTTAATTTTGAGCTTCCATTAAAACAAAATCTGCAAGCAGCTTAGGGTCTGGGACCATCTACAATTGCATACAGGTATACACAGTAAACCTTTTGGAAGAATTCTGAGAATTGAAGTGATTCTTTTGTTGTCAGAAATGTTGGCATGACAAAAACTCATTAAACATATCAAATTTCAGTTAGTTTCCTATTTCCACTGGCCTTGTAATGTTATATTACAAAACACAAGTATAAAAGATAATGCAGAATAATTGAAATATTACAAATTACTTCCCTTTGAATACACCATGAAGCTAGCAAAAATGTACAGCATCTCTGTTCTTACATTAGTTGTCTGTGGAAATGTGATCATGGGCTCATGTGACGTAAAGCTAGGTAAATAATTTTATGGCTTTTGTTTAGAATATATACAACTTTTGAAATAACGCACAAAGTAAATTTTAAGTTATATTTTTATCTTCACATTTTTTCATCAATATGTCTTAATTAATATTAGCAAAGCAAAACAAACTAGTAAAACATTCAGTTACAATCTCCCACAACAGTAACACATCAAAATCCAATGCAAAAGATTGAATTTTTTGTTTGTTTCAAATTGTTTCCAATGTAAACATAAGTAATGAGAAATTGAAATCTTGATCTTGTGCATGAAAGTATTAAAGTAGCTTGCATTAAAATCAAGCATAAGTGTTCAATGCTTTTCCAAACTTTAATACTTTAATACTTAATGGTGAACTTGTAGATAAAGACTGAATTATAATACACATATTTACATCTATTTTATTTCAGAGAGTTCCCTTCTCACAGATCTAGTCGAAATGTTGTTAAAGAAAGATTCAGGTAAGTTTCAAATATTTTTTTATGCTTCAGTGTTCAATTTATTATACAATTATTTTTAGTTTACACCAAAGTCATATTTTTAGTCATGACAGCTACATGGGTTAATGGACTGCTATAATCTTGTAAGCTAAAATAAGAATTCACCAAGGAACATTCAAGCCAAGTTTGGTTTAAATTGGTTGAGCAGTTTCAGAAATGTACATCTTTGAAACAAACCTGCAAATAATGGATAAAAAAAATAGCAATTTTTAGGGGCAACAACTCCAAATGACAGTCTAGTAGCAGTTTCAGTTATGTGCAGATATATTGTTAAAACATACTCTAAATTTTTGGTTAAATAAAACTGTATTCATATTCCAACCATAAACAGTTCTTTTGTAAACTGTCATCACTATGAAAAACAACAGTTGTCCATAGACATCATGCCCCGCTCACAGTATCACTGTTCCCTAGTTCAGTCAACCACAAAATATATGTTAATATCCTTATTCGGACTATATTTTAAAAAGAATTAAATCAATATTAACATATTTACTAACTTTCAAGTTGAAGTGACCACAACTGAATGGTAAAATACCTTAAAACAAATCTTTAACCTGATGATTCCTTCATGAAATCCAGCTCAAAACTTTACTTGGCATATATTTTAAGGTTCACATCATATTGAACATAATTATGTACTAAGACCACAACTTCATAGTGAAATACCTTAAACTAAAACTTTAACTTGATACAGGATGGACAGATGAACAGAATGACACACATACTGGATTACATAATACCACGTACTATCATACATAGTATGGGGCATAATAAAAAATCAAAGCATCGTTGATGTTGTGATCCAGCCATATTTATAGCTAGTCAGATATTATTTCTGACCATACTTTTTTCAATATTTTTTTCTCTTTTCATTTCCAATCTTACTGTAAAATTTCTATGTTATTGTCCAAAGGTAGGGAATTTTGGAATATTAATGCAAATATTGATATATATATACATATATATATATAGATATTTCAATTTTAGACTCTGTCAGATTTTTTTTACAAGAATGGAAAGGGAAATCTTCAAATAAGTAATATATTTTTTATATGCCATTAATAATAACTGGCTTAATAATTTCCAGAAAGAGGCCTTAGAAATGCACATTCTCAACAACAAAAATTAAAAAAAATAATAACTATTTTTTATCTAAATTGGTGTTCATTCTTCATTAAGAAGAAATACATTTCCTGTATAAATGTACAAATACCTAATGATGATTTATTTCCAATTACTGTTAAATAGCAATATAATGGGATATAAATGTAGAACAAACAAATAAATTTTATTGCAGAAAATGCTCGGGTAAGAGTTATGCAATTTTGTATATTATTTCAATCAAATTTCTGATAATTGTAACTAATTAATTAGAACTTGATTATTGACTTATGACAGATGATAATGACACTGATTTTACAAGTGAAATTAAATTTGCTTGCATTTTTTAAACATATTTTTTTTATTTTTTGTCTTTTCTTTTGAAAAAAACCCACATCTGATTAGTCATTCAGCTAGCTAACAAAATTAACAGAATAGTTTAGTGTAGTGTAGATTAAAATAAATAATACATTTGTAGGTTTACTATTGAGGTCAAGAATTTGTGTATTCTGTTAGGTGTGTAATAAATTGTGTCTATTTAATTATGTAACAGGTCATTAGATATTAACTGTGGTGAATTAAGCCTGGGGTCGTTTCCAATTAATACTTACACCTTTGGTTGTAATTATTTGAAAATCATGACTGTTGATAATCATACTGACTTTTACTTGCCTATGGAAAGAATTGGAGTAATACCATTTCAAAAAAGTGTGGGAATCAACTTAGATATATTAATACACATGTTGACCTACATTTCATTGAACAACAACGTACACAAGCATAAGATACTAATATAATACTTTCAAAATTCTTATCAACTGACTCAATTGATGTACAATTACTTTTTCAAATTAATTCATATAGAGTAAATCATTATAAATTTTGATTTACAAAGGAACTATATGCAAGTGTATATATAAAATAAAAGGGTTGTTCGACCAATCTTTTCTTAATTTAAGGGCAAATAACATGTCAAAAGTTGGCAGTTGATGATTAAAATGGTGTAGAAAGTTTCTGCAAGTCATTAAAACACATAATTAGTTTCATGATATGTCTTCAACTTAGTATTCTGCACCATCTTCAAAACAGAGTGATCGCATAGATCCAGCATAGCTGAATCAAAAATGACTGCCCAACCCGCAGTGGCAGTCTTATTAGGTTCTAGAATAATTGTCCACAACAGAGTAACATCGACAGCTTTTTGCAGCTTTTACTTTGATTTTCACTGTCTTCTACTTCTGAGATTGTCAAAATTAATATTATTGCCATCCATTTTGCATGACATACTTCTATTCAAATTTAATCCGATAAGTTTCAAATATGATGATAGTCACTTTCAAGAAATGGAAAACTACCTAATACAAAATCTTACATTCCGAAGGAATGCTAATGCAACGGCAAACTCAATATCAATGGTCAAGTAAAAGTCCTGTGTCCCAAATTTTTTGTGAACATCTGCCAATAAACATTTTAACATACAAAAGTAGACTACCGGGTACAAAGATTTTTTTCGATCATTTTAGATTATCATTATGTAGATCATTACTCGAATCAATGATTAACTATTATATGCATTATTTTTGCAGATAAAGGCTGTGCATTGTTCAATAGGAAGAAAATTCCTGCCTTTTCTGCTGCTATGACAAAGTCAAAATCACTTTCATCAAAGGAGATAATAAAGTTTAATAAAGTTTTCACAAACATTCAAAATGGCTACAATCCAAGCACTGGAATATTTACTGCACCTATTGCTGGAGTATATCAATTTTCTTCAGTGGTTATGAGTGATAATGGAAAATTCTTGGTTGCAACTCTTTGGCTCAATGATACCGTAGTATCCAGTGTGTACATTAAAGGTTCGGCTTATCAGACAGGGGCACTCAGTATGATATTGGATGTACAGAAAGGGGATCAAATAGCTGTAAAGTCGTATGGCAATTACGTTATTTACAGCGACTCACTGAATTACAGCACATTTTCGGGTAGTCTTATTTCTCAATAAATGATATTAAAATTTTCATTGATTTATCATTATGATCAGAGTAGGATCTGATTGTGGTTATGTCTTGTTCTTGCTGGTTATTGATTGATGGCTATTTGGTCATTATAAACAAATATTCAAAACAATTTTAAAATGAGTGCCCAAGTTAGAGATTAAGGTCGTCAAAGTTACAGAAGGTTCCTTAGAAATTCAAAATTTTGGCCTATGATTCATAATACACATGCCCCAAGGGTGACTGGGGAATAGAAGTATGGTCACCATTGGTCTTCCTCCGACCGGCAGTAAAACCCTTGCTAAAGTGGGGCGTCCGTTTGGCTGTGCGGGATGTACAAATTTGCAGCCACGTCCGGTCAGAATGGGGACGTTAAATCCGATGCCTCGTGTAAAGAGAGTGCCACGCTCTTTGCACGTTAAGAACCATTGCAACAACTCTTTTAGGGGTCCGTAGGTGACCTGTTGCAAGACAAAATTTCTGTCCCTATCCAATATTCCCTCATTTCCCGTGGCAGTCTAAATTTCTCCGACCTTAATCCCGGACGTCCCTCTTACAGAACCTACCTATTGTATTTATTGTTAATTTGTTCTCGTCCTGAATATGCATGAAATATTTGCCACTGGACGTTAAGCAACCAACAATCAATCAATCAATCATAATACACATGTTACAAACATCTGAATTTGCAATAGTATCTATAGGTACTGTGTCCAAGATGCACAACTACATATGGTATTACATATCTTCTTCAGACGTTGTCTCCCAATCACTACATTGAATACATTCGGTTTGATTTTATGTTCTTCTGCATTGCTTTTTGAACAACACTAAAAAGGAATAAAATGCTCCGCAGGGCGCAGCTTGATACGACCGCAGAGGTCGAACCCTGAACAGTTGGGGCAAGTATGGACACAACATTCAAGCTTGATACAGCTTTGCATTTGGATTGTGATTAAATATTTGACACAGCATAGGTTTCTGACACAGAATGAATGTGGTCTAAGAACTTAAAAATTTTAAATTGGACATTCACCTATTATGGTCCAATATCCAAAATCTAAATACATGGTTAGATTCAGCATATCAAAGAACCCCAAGAATTCAATTTTTGATGAAATAAAAAAAAGTTTAATTTTGGACCCTTTTGACCTCAATGTGGACAAAGTTGATAACGGGGCCCAAAAATCAAAAATCTAAATACATGGTTAGATTCAGCATATCAAAGAACCCCATATATTCAATTTTTGTTGAAATCAAACAAAGTTTAATTTTGGACCCCAAATGGACCAACTTGAAAACTGGGCCCATATTCAAAAATCTAAATACATGTTTAGATTCAGCATATCAAAGAACCCTAAGAATTCAATTTTTGTTAAAATCAAACTAAGTTTAATTTTGGACCCTTTGGACCTTAATGTAGACCAATTTGAAAACGGAACCAAAAATTAAGAATCTAAATACACGGTTAGATTCGGCATATCAAAGAACCCCAATAATTCAATTTTTGATGAAATCAAACAAAGTTTAATTTTAGACCCTTTGGACCTCAATGTGGACCAATTTAAAAACGGGGCCCAAAATCCAAAAACTAAATACACGGTTAGATTCAGCATATTAAAGAACCCCAAGAATTCAAGAATAAAACCCCATTGAAATTGGTCAAGAAATAAGCAATTTATATGAAGTATCTTCTTCTGCACAATACTGTGCAATTAAATATTTCTTGCTATTGCGCAATACTGTACAATTGACAATTTCTTGCTATTGCGCAATACTGTGCTATTGGATATTTCTTGCTATTGCGCAATACTGTGCAATTGAAGATTTCTTGCTATTGCGCAATACTGTGCAATTGAAGATTTCTTGCTATTGTGCAATACTGTGCAATTGAAAATTTCTTGCTATTGCACAATACTTATTATATAATAATTTACACATCCTGTTTGGTGTGTATCTCCTACCATATCATTATTATTTGCTTTTAAATATAAATCAGAAATAACCAACTTAAAATGGAAAATTTTAAAAGAAAAAAAAAGGAAAAAAAGAAAAAAAAGGAAAAAAAAAAAATCCCCCCCAATTTTTTTGAACCCCCTTATGATTCATCACCCCCAAATTAATCCCAGCCTTCCCTTTGTGGTATGGTACCTTGCAATACAATTTCAGAGAGATCCATACACTTGAACACAAGTAATTGTCTGGAAACTAGAAAAATGTGTTTTTTGGCCCCTTTTTGGCCCCAAATTCCTAAACATTTAGGGCAATTACCCCAAAACTCAAACCCAGCTTTCCCTTTGTGATATGGAACCTTGTAGTACAATTTCAGAAAGATCCATACACTTACACACAAGTTATTGTCCTGAAACTAGAAAAATGCTTGTTTTTCGCCCCTTTTTGGCCCCTAATTCCTAAAATATTGAGGCAATTACCCCCATCATCAATCCCAGCCTTCCCTTTGTGGTATGGTACCTTGCAGTACAATTTCAGAGAGATCCATACACTTGAACACAAGTTATTGTCTGGAAACTAAAAAAATGCTTATTTTTGGCCCCCAATTCCTAAACGTTTCCGCAATTACCCCCAAACTCAATTCCAGCTTTCCCTTTGTGATATGGAACCTTGTAGTTCAATTTCAGAAAGATCCATACATTTACACACAAGTTATTGTCATGAAACTAGAAAAATGCTTGTTTTTTGCTCCTTTTTTGGCCCCTAATTCCTAAAATTTTGAGGCAATTACCCCCAAAATCAATCCCAGCATTCCTTTTGTGATATGGAACCTTGTGGTACAATGTCAGAGAGATCCATACACTAACACACAAGTTATGTCTGGAAGTTACAAAAATGCTTATTTTAGGCCCCTCATTCCTTTACTGTTGGTACCATAACCCCCAAAATCAATCCCAACCTTCCTTTTGTGGTATTGAACCTTGTGGTAAAATTTCATAGAGATCCATTCACTTAAACTAAAGTTAGAGTGCGAAAACCAATGTGTCTTCGGACGACGCAGGACGACGACGACAACGACGACGACGACGCCAACGTCATACCAATATACGACCACAAAATTTTTTTTGCGGTCGTATAAAAAGCTGATTAGCTTTGAAAGTTATCAACAACTCTTGGTTAGGAGACAACTTGATGTATATTACCTGGAGATAAAGCAGTGGCTCTAGGTCATTATCAATTATAATATAAGGTCAACTTTGATATAAACAAATGCATCTTAGATAATACCAGTAGCTGACAACCATTAATAGAAGAAAGGAGTAGGGTCTTTTAGGTGTAATACCACCAATACATTGTAAATCACATATGGTTACAGGTTCAAAAGGGACAAACAAAAATATTCCCTTAAATTTTAGTTGTAGGAAATTAACCCTGCATTTCATTGCAGAACATTTTTTCCGAGTCATAAACATATATCTTGGGAGTTTCAAAGTACCATTCTTTTTTATTTGGTATTGCTATAAAATATTTTGGAAACTTGAGGTGACATGGTTACTAAAGCTTGTAAACAGCAAAAAACAGGATGAAAAGTTGCTTGGTTTACTTTCAATGATGGTTATTTTCTTATGAAAAGCTGTGTGAAGTTAAAAACATGGAAAATCAAGACATTTTTACAAAATATACATATTCCATCATGGATTGTTGCCATGATAACTAGTTAAGTGTGATTTTTTATGCCCCAAACATAGGCAACGGGGGCATTAAGTGTTACCCTGGACCGTCGATCCGTCCATCCAATTTTTGTTTCCGCACTCTTAAGTTTTACTCATCCAAAATGCTTAGAATCAAAACTTGCAAACAGTATTCGAATTTGGGCAGTGAGTCACTTACCAGTCTAGAGTTATGCTCCTATATAAGGGGACGACCATTTGATATTCTGGGGGGGGCCAGGAGGATTTGTTTTGGATCGGTTATTTATTTTTGTAAACTAAGAGGACAGATTATCTATTTTCTGCACTATTGAAGTAAGATTTTTCATTTTCATTAAAGCAAGGGACTGATTATTTATTTTCACAACTATATTTATAATATTTGAAAACATACAATTTTTAAATTATTTGTTTATTATAAATAATTCATGTATAGTCAAGTCATTATGTACCATTTAATCAGAATTAATTATTATCCTCTGCAGAAATGAATCATCTATATCCCCCAATGCATATACATGTATTGCATACATACACAGTATTAAAGTTTGGTTGTAACTAAGGCTCTTTTAAAAGTATTGGCAAACATGTTTCGCCGAGCGGAGCGAGGCAAAATTTTTTTTGAAGGGTTTTTGAACCGCTGAAGGCCCAAGAAGCTATAGAACAAATGATGCAAAATCATGCCTTCTGGGTGTTCCCCAGACCCTTTCTTAAACTGAAAATGCAAGTTCTGTTTTAATAATTTTATGACAATATTTTGGTCTCAAAGCAAAATCACGTTATAGATTCAGTGTAAGACTTAAGTTTCTAGGAACAACATCAAAAGACAAATATGCATGATAAAGCAAAAATGTAATTCACATAGTTAAGTCTGTGGCTGCTGTGTTTTTTTTAAACTCATGATCAAGTTAATAATAAAATTACTATATTACAAAATGAATGCAACACTAACAGAATACAGAAGGGCAATCAATGAACAAAAGACAAATAAATAAGAAACATTGATCCCGAAAAATCAGGGGCTACGTCTGAGGGAGAACAGAACTTGCTTCTTGCAAGGCACTCGCGGTGAACACAATTTGATATTGAGACAAGCGTTTGGTTTTGAAATTTCCTACATGAGGCATTTGTCTCAATGTAGTTACGGCCCTGATTTAATAAAAGTGAGGTAAGTGTTCCTGAGACAATTAACCTCAAGTTAAATGAAACCAATTTTCTGACATTTCAAGTATATTTAAATAATATTTATACTTTTATTATTAAAAGATATGGGAAGTGTTTCCCGATTTTTTTTTTGGAAAAAAGATGAATTTATGAAGAATCTGGTGTCATCTCATACTTTCGATTAGACCTGCTGAGTTATTTATTTTCAATACATTGCAAGTCAGGTAATTTATTTTCAAACTACCACAGAACAAACCATTTATTTTTGTGATTATCAAGGCTGAGTTATTTATTTTCAAAATCCTCCTGGCCCCCCCCCCCCCCCCCCAGAATATCAAATGGTCTAACTTGGAAAATTGCAATTTTTTTTCATTTGCACACTATAACTTAAGTTTGCCTCACCCAAATTTTATGAAGCTAATACACAATACTTAAAACCACAACAGACAGACAGAGTTCAAATTTGGGCAACGAGTCACTTCCCATTCTAGAGTTTTTAACTTGGAAAATAGCAAAGCTTGAGTGGGGAATTCATGTCCTCAGACGCATTCTTCTTTTATTTCTAAACAACCTTGTACCTTAGTATGGTTAGGACAATTGTATGAAAAGATATGGTAATTTTTTTAATTTGCACAAATCTTTGTGCTAAATAAATCCTTAAGGACATTATTGCCCCATCTCCTTTATTTTGAACCCCCTTAAAAGTGAACCCGTGGTAAAAATACCATATGGAAAATTGACCCCAGGGTCATTATACCGCATGGTATTTTGACCCCGGGTTATTTTTCCCATATGGTATTTTGAACCCCACCATGGAAAATTGAACCATCCTGTTTTAGATAAATAGTATTGCAGATTATCTAATGTACAATATGTTGGCTATGATTTTTTTTTTAAATTGGAGGAAAATTTTACTTAATCATGGTATTTTGACCCCCATGCCATGGTATATTGAACTCCCTACTATAGACCTCTAATGTAAAAAAAACTCTAGCTATTCTAACTCCTTCATATAGTAATAATACTCCAATTAGTAGTTTGTATGTATTTAACATGCTGGAAAAGATGTTTTGAAAGTTTTACTTAGCCATGGCATTTTGACCCCCCTGCCATAGTATTGATGCATGAACCCCCCACTTTAAACCTCAAATATCAAAAATCATATCTTTTCAAACTCCTTTACATAGTTATAATGCTGTAACTAGTATTTGGTATATATGAAACATGATGGAAAAAGATTTTTTAACTATTTTTCTTAGATATGGTATTTTGAACCATGGTAAATTTAACTCCTTTTATATGTTAGAATTTCAAATAATCAAAGCATTCAAGGTACATGGTCTAGTCAAAATGCTTCAATAAGTATTTTGAATGAATTTTTGTTGGTAAAGACTTCAGCATGTTCAGAGCCAGGCGCGTAGCTGCCTTTACGCAAAAAATCATTTGCTTGCACATTTTTTTTCACAAAAAAAAATCTGAAATTGAATTACGGTCTGATAGGTCATTTAGTGCATTACGGTGACTGAAAACTTATATACGTGTAACCATGGTACAGGACAGACTATCTTCGTTGGCGCTCATACATGTTCACAGAGAAATGGATATCGACACCGAGAGAGTTCTGCGATCATTTGCCTTGGCAAAAAAATAGATATATAAACTTTGGATATTAACTTTACTTTAAGTCTTACATTTAATAATACAGGCTCAATACAATCACCTTGAAAACATCTTAGATTTATATCCCTTACTTATAAGTCAAGACTTAAAAGTGGCCGTTCTATTTCGTATTTCCATTGTCCGTTCGTCCAAAAGACTATTATTTCACCTGGGGTATCTGTGTCTCAAATAACCTTCTACTGTTGTCGTAGAAACCTCTTCTTCCGGTAAGCGACCACCGTCAACTGGTTGACAATTCTGCCACATTTTGGAGTGAGCGAATGAAATATTTTTGAAAATTAATAAACAAAAAGAGAATGGGTGCAATTTAATATATATACAGGTGCAATTAAAAACATGGCATTTAAATCTAATGACGGAGCTGATCCTTGAAGGTCTCAGGACTCGGGGCGGAGACAGTAGAGTTGGGCAAGGTGTTCCACTCTCCGATTGTTCTAGGATTGAACGACTCCTTCCGTACAGTTGTTTACAAGATGGTATTCTAAGTGCCTTTTCGTTGTTATTTCTGGAAGGGCGTTCATTCGGTATTAGCTTACTGGATGTATGGATTTTAACAAAGTTGTTTTCTAGCTTATACATCATTATTAAGCGGCTATGTTTCCTTCGTTCTTGTAGGGTAGACCATTCAAGATGTTCAAGCATGCTACTAACAGATGAGGTGTTGTGATATCTGTTAGTAACATATCTTGCTGCCCGTCTTTGCACCATGTCCAATCTGTGGATGTCGTTTTGTTTGTATGGGTCCCATACTGCACTAGCATATTTTAAAGTAGGCCTGACGATGGACATGTATGCTTTTTCTTTAATTGACTTGTTTGAGATGTTAACATTCCTTTTTAAGAAGCTAATCCTCTCCTTTGATTTGAAAATGACCTTCGTGAGAAACACTACGGGTGTCTTGCAAGAAGCAGGACCTGCTTACCCTTCTGTAACACCAGAGGTCGCCACATTTTTTTTCGGGATCCGTGTTTATCATCTGTATTTAGTTTTCAATGTTGAATGTTAAAGGGTTATTCCATAACGGTCAACCAACTCGTGATGGCGTCCATAAAATTTACGAAGGGATGATTTCAACTTCACCATTTGGAACTCTTGGTTTAATAGCTTCCTTGTGAGCAGCAATTCTCTATCAATGAAATCATGATAGGAAATACAAGCCCGGGAATATCGTATCAATTGGTAGATATATACTCCGTATGCAGGCGCTGCTGGAATTTTGCTACATAGAAATGGAAAGTTCTCAATTGGGAAGCTGAAATCATCTCTTTTGTCGTAAAGTTTTGTTTTCAACCGACCCTCATTGTCTATTTCTAGAGCTCATGAGATGCAACTACATATGGTATAACTATAATTAGGCTATCATGCATTTCTCTCCAGTCCTGTTTTATAACCCTTTTAATTATAGGATTTATATGTTGACAAAATCTCTAATATGAAAAAGAACAGTTAAGTCCACATGTTACAGTGGGAAATTTCTTAAATCATTGATCAAACAGTAAAATAGAAGTTGTACATTTTTAACTTAGTGTGACTTTAATAGTAATTGTGTCAAGTTTTAATTCTATTCCTATTTTATGCTAGTAACTTTCTTAAATGTAGAAATGGCAAAGATTGTGATTTGCCAAAAAAAAGTAAACTGATTCTGAACTAAATAGGAGGAACACAACTTCTATGAGATAATGGCATCAAGTTTAGATTCATTCCCCATTTTAAATGTCTTAGATTTTTTGTTGACAACTTTTTTGGGAAACAGAGTAACACATGGATAGGAAAAATCAAAATATGCCATGGATTGATTGATTGTGTTGTTTGCTTACAGTCCAGTGTTTAATATTTCATTAAGTTCAAGACAATATTAAGGGACACAAAGGCATACAATACAGTTTTGATCCCGCAATGATTTATTTACAAAAATTTGCATACAAGCTATTTTTCACCTAGTAAATTCAAATATGTAAGAAAAACATACCTTCATGTGCTAATTTTAGAGACAAATGGGGTGGGAATTTTGGGCATTTACTCAAAATTTTGGTTTCTTGGACATTTCTATCCTTTTAATAGACATACCTAACTTTTTTGTTTTCAAAGATAAACACAAGCGGGTTTTTGTAAAAACATTTTACATGCGTATGCTCTAAATTTGTGTAAAATTCAATGGATTTATTAATTTTTATCAAAGATTTATGATTTTAGAAAAAAAAAAAACAGTATTTTTTGCTGTGTATTTATCTAATTTAAAAAATTTCATCTGTGATTTTTTCATAAAAGTTGGTACAAATAATGCAGAACCAAACCAAATGTCATTTTAAAAATGAGGAGTCAATGTACTTGTTTTCAAGCTTATAATCAAAATTATTCGAAAAATGCATTTTTTCTTGACATGTCACAGTTTCGTATGTCAAAAAACAACATTTTATGTTAGCAATGTCATTACCTCCCATGTAACTGTATCGTATGCCCTTAAACTAATTAGGGAAAAAAATGAAATTGGTCTGTAACTTCCCTGTCCTCCCCATATGTTTCATTTAAATAAATGGTAGCCAAGTTGATTGGCAGGTGAGAATATTATGATGCAATTTTGAAACTGTACAACCTCAGGATGATTTTGGTAAATTTTTCTAAAAATTAGCAAGTAATTTCTAAGAAGAAAATTTTTAATATATATATGTTGTCAAATGGATGATAGACAGGAAATACAAAGAGATGCCAATAGCTAACCAAATTTTTAGGGAGCCAAGTGACCTTAAAAAGAAAAAAGAACCTCCATTCATAAAATCTGTATATGCCATATGTCATGTATGTAGTGAATTATTATGGTTAATCCTAAATTGCTTAATTTCTGTAGAACTAATTTTTAAAATACATCTGTTTCTTGTCATAACAACAATAATCAATATGTAATCTGAGAATATGTAAAAGTTATGCAAATAATCTAGTAGTCTTAACATTGTTATGTCATCTATTAAACAACCTTTATATAATTTACATCAACAAATACTTAATGCAAGTAATTCATCCAAATATGTCATCTAAGAAGGACAAGTCAGGTTTCTTTGGTTTAGTGCTGGCAAGAGAGGACTTGACATTATTATTGTTATGATTATCATTTAACTGGTGATCATGACATTTTTGTACAGTCTTCAGTTTCTTCCTTGGTTTAAATGTTACACTCTGTCTTTCTGAATCCTCTTCTGGTAAGTTTTGAAACAATTCTGTAGGGTCGATATTTAAAGAGGTTTCATCTCTGCTAGAACAAGATTCATTTATATGAACACATTTACTTTCAACTTGGTCATGTAACCTTTTTGTTAGTTTTGTAAATAGGTAACTATTTGAAGATTTAACTGAGTCTGGATTTTTTTCTTCACTTAAAATGCAAGTTTCGTCAGTAAAATTTTTCTTTGATTTCATCTCAATATCCCTTTCCTCTTCACAAACAGGAAAGGTGTCAAATAAATTGCTAGAGTAATTTTGTTTTGCCTGTCGACACGGATTAATTTCCATAATTTTTAAATGTTCAGAGACAATTTTGCCTCTCTTACCAGATTCACAACCTGAATTTTCCACATTTAGTGTGTCTTTGATATCTTCTGAGTCCATAAAATCTAAATCTAATATGTCCTCGGTTCTATTACCAGTGGAAGAAGTAGTTTTCTTTTTTGAAAATATTCTTCTCTTTTTACTGGAGGCACTTATACATGAAGGATCCACTCCATTTTCTTCAGCTACTTCAACCATGGCTGTTGAGTTGGATTCTGTTTTATGTATTATAATGTTTGTTTCATTATTGTCTTTCTTTTCTGAATAAGTGTTTATTGACAGTTCTCTTTCCTCAATTCTATGAAGAATGTCTCCTCTCCCTGCCTGCAAATTTGAGATAAAATTTCTAGTAAAAGATGACACAGTCATGTTTATCAACAAAAGGTTCCAATAGGCTAGCTTGCCTATAAAACAATAGTTAAACAATGAAATTTACCTCTTTTTATGAGTAAAGCTTGATCTGAAATGGGGTTTAACTTACATTAGGAATTTAGCTTTGAACACTTCAAATTTCAAATTTAAAAATATCTTTTGAATCCAACATGAGAAATGTTGTCTATGAAGAAAAGTTGATATACCCCTGTACATATAATCAATTATGAAATCTTTTAGAAAAATTTATATATGTTTTGGTAATTTATAGAAATCATTATACAAAATTCACGCCTACTGTGGATTAATTAACATTCGTGGGATACCAATTTTCATGGATTTCGTTGTAATAGGTAAACCAAGAATTTAAATGTTCAAACAAAAACGCAATTTCTGTAGGCTTACATAAGACTTTGGCAAAACCATGAAATCATATATCCAAGAAAATACGAGTTTTATTCAATCCAAGAAAATTGGTACCCATGAAAATAAATAAATCCACAGTATATGAACATATGAGAGGTTCTCAGACTTCTTTTATAAAGCTATAACTTTTGTCCTATCTCAGTTGTATTTATTTACTTTGAAGAACAATCTCATAACATAATAGAAAAAGAATACAAATTGCATCCAAATTTTATTTAATTTTTTTTTTAAATGGATGACATTAATATTTAAATGAAATATAATTATAACTGTTTTGAAATCAAAAATACACCTATAATATCATATATGATTATTATTTTTTATGTCTTATTGGTCAAGAATAGTATAAATAAATAAAAATGTGTAAGGGTTCCACGGAACCCAGTGTCTCGCCTACTTTTGCTGTTAATCGCAGGCTCAACAAAAATGAGATGAGGAAAAAATTTAATAAAAATATTCCTCTCGATACAATTTTTTTATTGTAAGAAGCTTCTGTCCAAGTTTGATAAAAATCCAGGATAGTTTATGAATCTAAGAAATGTTTTAAAAAATTTAACTGCGGACATTATATAATGTTACCTGGAAGAAAAACTAAGTCCATTTATAAGTAAAATATGGATAAACAAGTACAAAATCTTCTAGATACTAGCTTTTGATCATGAACAAACTTCTGTCCATGTTTGGTACAAATCCAGGATAGTTTAAGAAAGTTATTAAAATTTGAAAAACTTTAACCACAGAGTGAATGTAATGTTTCCTGGCAGAAAAACTAAGTCCATTTATAAGTAAGTTACGGAAAAACAGGAATTTTTTTTTTTAAATTTACTTCTGGATACTATCTTATGATCATAAACAAGCTTCTGTCCATGTTTGGTACAAATCCAGGATAGTTTAAGAAAGTTATTAAAATTTGAAAAACTTTAACCACAGAGTGAATGTAATGTTTCCTGGCAGAAAAACTAAGTCCATTTATAAGTAAAATACGGAAAAACAGGAATTTTTTTTTAAAATTTACTTCTGGATACTATCTTATGCTCATAAACAAGCTTCTGTCCAAGTTTGGTAGAAATCCAGGATAGTTTAAGAAAGTTATTAAAATTTCAAAAACTTTAACCACAGAGTGAATATTTGTGGACGCCGCCGCCGCCGACGACGACGGAATGTAGGATCGGTATGTCTCACTTTTTCGACAAAAGTCAAAGGCTCGACAAAAATACCTGTTTCATGATTTCTGTAGCTACCTCTACAAGTTCCTTCTCTGACATCACATAAACTGTAGATCTGGGAAAATATTAACAACTAATTACAGAATTGTGAATATTCACTATTTCATGTATTTAGACAACATTAGCACATGTTACATATACAAGACAAGAAATTTGAAAACATTTTATTTTCATATTAATTTTTGTCACTACAAATAGAACTAATTGGTTTATTTCCAGTCATCAAGACATCTTGAATTATTGCTAATGAATTCATACAAAGGATTCAAAATTTCCAATGTACTTGGGTGTATCAACAGGTTTCTTGTTTTTAAATATTGCCCAGTTAAATCAAGATATTTCAGTCTAATAAAAATACTCTGACAGTCTATCAATATGCATACAAATTAATTTCTTTTGAAAAAACATAATTTATATTGAAAAAGAGAGGAAGAAATTTTGAACTACAAACTTGATGTATAACCATCATGGGCACTGCATATCAACTTGTTTAAAATCATGAACGATAATTTTCAAAACAAATCTATCAACAGTTAACTGTAAAATATTGTGTCATGATATTTTTTCTTACTTGGCTTTCTTCTGATCTGCTGAAGCTGTACTGTTGACACTGTCAGAACGATGACTTGACAGGGATGAAGATGAAGTAGATTTACTGGTACCCAACATCCACTTAGGTAGCTCTCTTGAGAAAGATTTGTTTTGAAGTACAACTTCATCATCACTAGATACATGTGTACTGTCATCAGGATTCAACTGAGTAGAAGGGTCTTCTTTTTTCATCAGGTAGGCATCAAAACTTTTCTGAAAACTGAGATAAGTGAAAGTATTAACTGGGCAACCTATAAACCTAAATTAAAGCATACTATATAGATATAAGAAGATGTGGTATGAGTGCCAATGAGACAACTCTCCACCCAAGTCAAAATTTATAAAAGTAAAACATTATAGGTCAAAGTACGGTCTTCAACACAGAGCCTTGGCTCACACCAAACAGCAAGCTATTAAGGGCCCAAAAAATTACTAGTGTAAAACCATTCAAACGGGAAAACCAACGGTCTAATCTATATAATAAACGAGAAACACTTATGAACCACATCAACAAACGACAACTACTGAACATATGACTGTAATGATATCACGACACTTTGTGTTTGTGAACAAGAATTTTAAGGTAAGCTGTCTGTATTAAATAATAAATATTATATAAACTTATCTGTACTTTAATTAACCATAAATATGCTATTTTTATTACATTAATAGCATATACTTGATGTATAAGATTTCATTTAAAAAATACGTGTAATATATCTAAATGGTAAAGGTGAGAATTGATTAGTAATCTATATGCGCTACAAGTAAGATTCTAAATTTAATAATTAGAAGAAATTAAATAAATCCTGATTTCCAAGAAACATTTGAAAAGGTTGAGAAAGTTCAATAAATGTTTCAAATAAAGCAATTATGGTACATTCCAAAAAATAGCTTACTTTTTAATGGAATCAATATTTGATCCATACAGGGATGCTTTAATTCCCTGGCTTACTTCTTCTGATAAACAATTTCCATGGAAACTATCTTTGAGGTTATATAAAGGTAAACAAGGTGATTGGTCCTCTTCAACTCTGAACTCCATATCTTGAAGGAAATTTGGCTGACGTGGTGTTGTGAAAATCAGTTTATTTAAAATCTGAAATATAATGCAAAATATTTGATGACAGTAGAAGTGATAAATTTTTCAAAATTTGTAATGTGTATATTTGTTTTGCGACACATGGTGCTAACAGGAGTTGTAAGTAAGTAATATTTGTTTTATTTATTCAAAATTGTGGAGAATTGGATATCAGTTAAAAGAGAAATTGGGTAAAGGTAACTTAGATAGCTATTGCATGAAATACAAAATAACAAATATCTCAAAGAATTACCAGTAATGTTTTTATTACTATTCTTAATCTTAAAAAGTTCTGAAATATAAAAAAAATCAAAGGAAATTATCTCATGAATAAAACATTCAATAATTCTAAATTATTCCTTAATTTAAAATGAAATATAATATTTTCTAACAAATCCTGGGACAGGCAATCTTTTTATCAATCAAGGTCTCTTATTGAGGGATATTTGAAGAGAATGAAATAAATAGATTTAAAAAAAGATTTAAAAAAAAACATATAACACTTACTAATGTTGGCTTCTGTAACACCTTTGAAGCCTAAAAAAATCAAGTCATGAGCATAAACACAGATTTTATTAACAAATTTGGAAATCTTCTCTAATTAAAGTAAAGCAGTAATATTGCAGTAATGGATGGAAAGAAGTATAGCAGTAATATTGCAGTAATGTATGGAAAGAGATGTCATATCACCATGTTAAGTACTATTTGAGCATGCTTTCAGTAAAGAAGTATTCTTTAATAGGGTTTTGTATATCATTGCATTGCCTGTATCTATTACATCAGTAAAATGTAGGTAATGCCAAATTGCATATGTCATAATTTTTTTCTTGCTGATACACAAAATTTATATGACTTCCACTTACAGAAGCTCCATTAGAGCTATTGTATTTAGAGATCTCTTTATTTACATCAGTACTGAAGTTGTTTTTTTTTTTTTTTAATTTTTGTTGTAAATTCTTTGATTTACCAATTGCTATTATCATTTAATCAATATTAAATGGGGAAATTTATTGATCTGCATTTACTATACGATGTCAAATCATGAACTCATTTTAAAAAATAAATAATTTCATATTTAGTCTTAATCCATTTAAATTTTGCCCAAATATTTTTCTTGAAAGTAAAATATATGTATTTAGTTTTATGATTTTTTTTTTCTGTTGTTGATCCTGAAATGATTGCACAAGCAAATTTTTCTTTTTTATTTCTTTTCTAATGGTTGCATAACTTCTTCAAATCCATAATGAAACTGGGAAAAAAAATCTTTTTTATTTCTTTACAAAAAAATTCTATTCTTCTTGTGTGGATAAAACTAATTTTATATTTAACACTTGTATTTAATATACAGATACTTACATTTACATGTTTTACACCTGCCAAATCTGCCATTTTAGAAAATGGTTGATCTTGAAACAGCATGACAGTGTTCTACAGATATAAAAGATTACACATTATATTATAAAGTGGCCAGTTACATTAATGATTACAATTTTTCTTTCCATGAAACATGAATGATCAGAATAAGTAGGCTTCTGGATTTTTTTTATGAACAAAATTATGAAACAAAAGTTACCCTCAAGGCCAAATGTCTGACTTGACCATATTCTTATCATTATTCATGTAAAACAGAACGGTTAATTGTAGTATCTTTACCTTATTAAACAAATCTATACCATGTGACCCTTGAATTGTTGCCAGTAACCCAGGACTAGGAGGCACTGTATATTTTACTGCTTCTTTATCAACACTGTATAAATACACAGGAACATCTTCTAGCTACAAGAAAAATTACAACCTTTTTATAATACATTTTACAACATAAAAAATCAATATATAAGATTTTTACTCCTTAATAGTTTTGGTGACATTTTTAGATTTACAAAATGAAGAATGAGTTATTTCCCTCGCCTAATTTAAAGATATAATTTTTAGAATTAATAAACATATAAATAATAATTACTGGAATGAAAATAAAGATTATTGAAACATGTCATGTACTTAAAAAAGGTTTATGGAAAGAAAATTATCTAAAATAATTCAATTCTTACAGATTTTTTTTTATAAAGAGTAAGCTCTGTCAGAGAATTACAAGACTGTAGCTCGTTATATGTAAGTACATTTAAACCGTCAGACATATGATTTTTTACCTCCAACATATCTTTCCATATCATAGTTTGTTCTCTTTATTTCATATGTAAAAATGTGCTAACAGTGTTGCAATGTTGCAATTACCTTTTTGACAAGGCCTTTCATACAGTTCTTAACCTCTTCTTGAAAACTGGAATCCATATCTTAAAAAATAATAGTAGAAATTATAAATAAAATAAAACAAGATATGAATGACTTTGCAAAACATATATCTGGATAGTACTTGCTGTACAAAAAACAAATAATAAAGGTGACCAGTTTTTAAGTGACAATTTTGAATTTGCTGAGGGTTTTAGATGCCGTAACAGAAGACCTTGTAGTAGTTTTTGGAATGATAATGAGTTCCTATGCACTTTCACTTTCAATTTGTTAAATTCTTCATTTAAGAGCTGTCTCATAAGTATCTAACCCATATCAAATCTATTTATTACAAATATGATGAACTCTGCCAATAACCTTTTTTTTACTTCAAAAGTAATTTACAATAAATTAGTTTCTCTTACAAAAGGTTGTTCTACACAAAGGTAAGATGACATGTTTTAAGGTAAATAAACATACAGCTAGGATGTTTGGTCAGATCTAACAATATAAATATCCTTCCATGCTGAGATTTTTGGAACCATAACTGACAAGTCTTGACAATTCCTGCCTTTAATGACTCCTCACAGAAAACAGCCTCCCATTGGAAAAACAGTCCTGGGATATCTGGCTAAAAATAATGGAAGTTAACTAATAAGTTAGAATTTTTCTCATTGTTAAACGCTTAATAGAAAATTTTAGATTATTTTGCAGCATGTTAATATTCTGGTTTACAATATTGCATATAAAATGACTTTAAAAGTATTAGTGAGGGTACGACTCAATTTGTTCTTTTTTATACTTTCAAATATTAGTGTATTTTATCAAAAAAAAAGAACATTTACAATATTTCTGTATGTGGATGTCCTTAAAGGACAAAATAGAAATTTTCAGGGCTCCAAGTAAATATCAAAATATTAGACAATGTTGGATACACAAATCTCAAAAGGATGCATTTTACAATCCAAAATTACAATAAGTATTAAAAGTAGTATTTTTACAAATAAAAATTGCAGATTAATTTTTTTTAAATTGTGTTATACTGTGTTAACATTTGATGCTTTGCTGAAAGTTGGCATTTCATCAAATAAATATTATTTTACACTGCGTCTGAAATTTTCCATGTTATTATGAGTATATATTCTCAACATCCAAATCTGTTCACTACTCAGATATGTATTGAATGACAACCTGCCTTTCATCATGTTAACAGATATTATATATAAATTATCATGCATTATATTTGAATGATTTCACCTGAATTGAAACTATGAGTGGAAAAACAAATAGCACTGAAAACATGCTTTGTAAAAAGCCTGTGATGAAAAGTAAATGACTGCAGCAATAGATGATAATTATTAGTAAAATAGAGCATTCTAATCCATTGTACAATATGAATCAGATACATACATGTGTATCTGGTATAATTGCTGTATATTACTTATAGTTTTATATTTACAATTTATTAGAAATTATAAGCTATTACAAATTTAACAGCAATGAGTCCTAAAGACCTAAACATTACCTGAATATTTGTTCGTAGAATAACAGGATATTCCTCAACAATAACTTTTAGATCTTCAACTAATGTTGGGTCATCAACTATAAACAACAATAACATTTTAAAAGGAGAAGGTGAATTAAGGCTACATGTTTGACACCTGAATGTGAAAATCATAATGTATCATACATCCATCAAATACATTAATTCAGATCTAGATGTATTCATATATATATATATATATATATATATATATATATATATATATATATATATATATAATAAGCAAGTCTAAAAGGGTACAACATCACAAAAAAAATAGTAAAATCATGAACAAATATTAAATATTTCGGATAACTAATATCCTTCATCAGTAAGATGTCAAATGATCCTTATCTTGACATGTGGTAGTTGAACTGAAATAATGATCTTGAACATCATACAAATTATCACGAATCAATATGCTGGTAAATTTTTTCAATATTGATGTTTGGGAGGAGGAATAAATTCCTTAAAACTGTGAGAGTCCTGTACTGAAGTCTGAGTTACAGGAAACAAGTGATGGTAGGGACTCATTTATATATATACACGTCTAAACATGTATATATATATATACATTTGGTATATTCTAATTATTTGTTTTATGGCTTCAATTCCCTTGTGTTTAATGAAATTTCTGTCTCTAAAATACAGTACATGTATTATAACAAAAATTCACTAAGTATGTAAGATAGAGAAAAAAAATTCCATAAATATTCCATTTTCGCTAAAAGGGAAAAAAAACCTTTGTGCAATAGGACATGTTAAAAAAAATGAGTTCATAATTTTTATTTCAAGGTCCATGTTTTTCTGGTAGAAAAGTCACATCATTACTACAATCATATTACTGTATTAATTATGTGTCACTATTTTATAATGATAATCCTATAGAAGTAATGTTATTAATACGGATTGGCGTTCAATGTTCAGCGGTTTTACATGTGAATTAGAATGAAAAATGCCAATGTGATACAAATATAACTCTGTTTTGTATTAGACCATCATGCTGAGCTGGATTTTTAATGTGATAGTTCAGGTAACAGTTTGCAGGAAGACATGTCATCTTCCCAGACACATTATTCTGACTCCTAGACAGCCAGTCTGCTCTTAAATGCTCTGTCCTTAGCAAAGAATTAAAAAGTACCAGTCTTTATTTGACCTGGGCTGGAAATGAATCAATGCCTTTCCCCCCTTTAGCCGAGCACTCCACAACAATACCACCATGTCAGTTGTGTATTTCTAGATGCTTAGTATATCTACAACTTACCTACATGATAAGATAGTTCCTCTGTGGAACTATCAAACCATTTGGTCAAATAACTGTCCAGTAATGGTTCCCATCCATCATTATCCAGCATGTAATACTGACGGGACCAGTACAGTTGTTTCAAACCATGTTTGGGTTGAACTGATACAACAGCTATTGATTTTGATGGAGTCTGGCAAAAGCAAATAATATTTTTACATTTAGAACTTTAAAAATAATATTAAATGCAAAAATACATAAGGTTTTATTGTACTTGAAAAAATTCTTTCACAGACGAGCTAAATATTGTCTTACCTGTTAAGGCTTAAGCTTTCCATTATTATGGTGTTGAGCGTACCTGATAAAGGTTATTCCAGAAACATGTGTTGTGCAAATGGAAATCATATCATTCCCTTTTTACTTTCAGTTGGTTGGTACCACTGGTGGTGTTCTTTAAGTTCTCTATGGTGGCATTTCTCCAGAAATAAGTGCTTCAGTATTGGAATGATTCAAATCATAAATATTGCCAGTAAATTTCAAATTCATAAAATTATGAAATTATGCTTAATCTAATGTTGCAACTCCATTATGCAGTTTACCATATACAGATTTTAGCTGCTGTGTTTAAGTTCCTTTAGTTTTTGTGCTCTTCAATGTTTCATATTTTAGGGTCTCCTAAATTTTTGTTTTAAGCCAACCTGATGGTTATTCCAAAAATGTATTACGCACATGGAAATCATTTAATAATTTTTAAAGTATTACTTACTAAGTACCACGATATATAAACCGAAATTTTCTTTTATTGTATTTTTTCTCATGAAATTTTAAAAAGCCATCATAATGGTGCAAATTACCTGTAAATCTATCATCAATGCCATAAATTATATAAAAACTTCACAAAAGGTATAGTACTAAGGCATTAGAATTACCTTCTCCCTTGTATTAAGTTTTTAACCAAGAGGCTGCAGGGTGCTTAGCATCAAAATTGGGCTGTATTTTGTAATGAAAAGACATTTAAAGTACAAGTGGGAGAAGTCTTACTGTAGAAAACATGAGAACATTTTAAACATTGATTTATTTTAGTTGATACCAATTTTTCGTGGATTTAGGAAAAATTGTTTTTCTCATGGATATTCGCTTTCATGGTTTTAAAGAAGTCTGCATTCAAGCCTATATATAATTTGTACTTTGTTGAACATTTAATTTGTGATTTACCTATACCCATGAAATCAACGAAAATTGGTATCCTACAATTAATAATGAATCCACAGTATCATATATATAACTTGTATAAATAGAAGTGTTTTTACTCATTTTCAGATTTTTAGCTGATATGTTATGTTATGTTACAAAATTTGATCAACTGAACAGTAATATATAAAAGAGTACCTTTTTCTTCACCATATTTATGTAGGACTCCCAGGTTGATTTATTGCAGTTTTCATCATTGACCACAACCTTTTCATTCTACAATACAAATTAAAATCATTCAAACTAAAAAACATAATATCCATACAATATATACTGTTAAAAGAATATGATTTTCAATTTATTGTAGTATGAGAATTTATACAACCTTCATGACCTTGAAAAAAAGCTTCTGACATAAACACTATGATTTAGGCAGGATCCAAATGCAAATGACATTTCAGCAAAATGTAAAAAACACCTACATATACAGGTAGCACTTTTTTGTTTTAAATCCCATAGGACCTAAAAAAAATATGTTTCCCTTTATTATAAAAATTATCCAATATCTTCAGAGACATTAACTTTTCACAGGCCAGACAATAATTGAATAAAACTATAGTATTCCTTACATACCTCTTTCAACATAGAAATCACTTCCATAATAACATCTCTCAGTCCAAGAGTGTTATCTGATAAAAACATTTTCTTTGGAATAATTTCACTATGTGATTTCAAGAGAGCACTGTAAAATCTCCTGCCCTAAAACAAACAAAATAAACTTATTTTAGTAGCCTCCCATATATCAATCATGCAATTTATTAACTGTCAACGTGATTCACCATGTTTATTAGAAAAAGGCTACACATTTTTAATTTTTCCATTTTGCCTGATCATGAAAGAAAATTGACTAGACTTTTTCTTCTTTTTTTTTTTTTATTCAACAACAATATTGCACATGCTGTTAACAGATTTCTTCACTGGTACAGCTATTTCAGTGGAGATCCCTGTATATTAGTACCCTAAGACCAGGGTATCTTCATGTATATATTTATAATTTTGTTAGTATGTATATTATATGTCTTTAATACATTGTTTATCATTAATGGATTATTTCTCTATTATTTTACTATTATAACTCTGAATATGAACTTTATATATATATAGTAAAAAAAAAGTTTTCTTTAATATACCATCAATTGTTACTATCTGATAGATGTTGAGAATAAAACAGAATAACGGGTTATCTTAGCGTGTTCAGAATTTGGTTTGTGGTTTAATATATTTCTCTGTTGTCCGGTATAACGTTTTCTGTTGTTGTTTTTTTGTGTGGATTAATTGCTTTCATCACGTGTCTCCCAAATATAATTGCATTAGCCACGGAAGGTATGTACACAAAAAAAATTTTGGTCTCATATAGTAAGCATAATTTGTATATCTTCCATATAATCTAAAATTATAGTATATAAATTTGTGGAAGAAATAAGAGGTACTTTCACTTTCAAAACTCATTGAAATTGTAAAATGAAATGATCATCTATCAAACCGTTCTGTAAAATACATATATAATAATAACATTGACAATAATATAACAATGTTGTCAAATATAAGAATATATCTTTTCTAGTATCCCTTTTCCTTCAATATTAATATATTTTTTTTGTAATAATAATCCTTTTTTAAATTCTGACCTAAAAACATTATATAGATTGATATTTTTTGTCCTATATTCTGACAAATAGTGTATTTTGTGTATAGTGAACACAATAACTGTAAGTAAAAAGTTTATTTCATAATAATGTTCATCATTAATTTTATATCCCCAGATTAAATTTTTTTTAGTGAAAATGTGTCTACCAATCTTAGCTATTTCAAATAACTTTATTCTAGAGGTGGCGTGAATCAGATGTGGATACTAAAAAATTCCAAAGATCTTTTAGAGTACATACAATCTAAGACTCTCTCATCTTGCAATAGTATTAAAACATTTGACTTTTCTACACTTTACACAAGTATTCCCCATTCCAAACTAAAAGACAAATTGAAAGAGTTGGTATTACTTTGTTTCATTAAAAAGAATGGCGAACGTAGATACAAGTATCTTGTCTTGGGGAGGGATAAATCCTACTTTGTAAAGAATCACTCTGATTCAAACAAAAAATTCTCTGAAACTGACATTATCAAGATGCTTGATTTCTTGATTGACAACATATTTGTTACGTTTGGAGGACGTGTTTTTCAACAGACTGTCGGAATTCCAATGGGAACCAATTGTGCCCCTCTTCTTGCCTACTTGTTTCTTTATTATTATGAGGCTGACTTCATACAGGAGCTTCTTAGGAAGAGAGATAAGAAGTTAGCAATATCCTTTAACTCTACGTTCCGCTGTATAGATGATGTTCTCTCACTAAATAATACAAAATTTGGTGACTATGTTGAACGAATCTATCCCATCGAACTAGAGATAAAGGATACTACAGATACAGTTAAGTCTGCCTCATATCTTGACTTACATCTAGAAATTGACAATGAGGGTCGGTTGAAAACAAAACTTTACGACAAAAGAGATGATTTCAGCTTCCCAATTGTGAACTTTCCATTTCTATGTAGCAACATTCCAGCAGCGCCTGCATACGGAGCATATATCTCCCAATTGATACGATATTCCCGGGCTTGTGTTTCCTATCATGATTTCCTTGATAGAGGATTGCTGCTCACAAGGAAGCTATTAAACCAAGAGTTCCAAATGGTGAAGTTGAAGTCATCCCTTCGTAAATTTTACGGACGCCATCACGAGTTGGTTGACCGTTATGGAATAACCGTTTCACAGATGATATCGGATATGTTCCTTATGTCGTAACTACAATACCCTTCCCTTTTCACGAATGTGACTTACCGAATTAGACTATTTACCGGATTTGTAATAACATAAGCAACTCGACGGGTGCCACATGTGGAGCAGGATCTGCTTACCCTTCCGGAGCACCTGAGATCACCCCCAGTTTTTGGTGGGGTTCGTGTTGCTTAGTCTTTAGTTTTCTATGTTGTGTCATCTGTACTATTATTTGTCTGTTTGTCTTTTTATTTTTGGCCATGACGTTGTCAGTTTGTTTTCGATCTATGAGTTTGACTGTCCCTCTGGTATCTTTTGTCCCTCTCTTATATATTTCCCCCAAAACTCATCTTAAAAGTGGCACGTTACAAAAAAATGTTCATAGTCTTCTGTAAGGTTACAAAAATTACAAGTAGAGTTATGGCTTATTTTCCATTGTTTTAACAACACTTTGTTTGGAAGAATAAAGTGTAATAGTTTCCATCTGCACATTTTCAGTTTATTATCTTTTAAATAGTTATGAATAAATTTTTGCATATATTGAGCTTCACTTTGTATATTTTCACATTTTAATATTCTGTTCCACTTATGATACCCTATTGGAATTTCTTTATCATATTCTATTAAAATTGTATAAATTTTCTTCGAATCTAATTTTTCTAGTTTATGTTTGCAATTATTTTTTTCACTTATATATAGTGAGTTATTTGTTAAAACACTAGTTTTTATTGATCTTTCTTCATTTAATATTTTTAACCATTCTTTTGGGATTGCTTTTCTTAATTTTGAGATTTCAGCTATACAATTCGATTTATTTTTTAATTTTAAACTTATAATTTTTTCTGAAAAGACTCCATTTTCATCAATAATATCATTTATATGAATGATATTGCTATCTATCCAGTTTTGGAAAAGTAGTGTTTTCTTTTGAAATTTGATCAATTGATTTCCCCAAATGACTTCTTGGCGGATAAGTCTGTAATTATTTGGATGTTTAGTTTTATTATTTTTATTTTTTAACCATACTTTAATCATATCAAGATAAAATTCTGGTAGCTCTTTAGTACCTGGTAGAGAGTATATATTATAAGTATTCATTCTTAAGATAAGTAGATTGCTACCAAATTTATTTAGATAAAATTTTGGTATAACCATCCAATTAAGAAATTTATCAGCAGTTAATCTTTTTATCCAACCTATCTTAATAGATTCTATATATTTATCTATATTTACCATTTTTAATCCGCCATCTAGTTGGTTGTAGCTTAATACAGTGCGTTTAACTTTTTCTGTCTTATTGTTCCATAGAAATTCATATATAATTTTTTTAAATTTATCTAAATACTCTTTGCCCAAGGTTGAGACTGTAGCCAAATAAGTAATTATAGGAATATCTAAAGATTTAATAACTGTTATTCTTCCTATCATTGTTAAGTTTCTTTTTTTCCAATTAGATGTAATTTTTACAGACTTTTCTAGCTGTTTTTCAAAATTTAGTTTATGACACTCTTCTTTGTTATGCCCAAAATATATCCCCAGACTTTCAACTGGTTTATCTGTAAAGTTAATATTTTCATATTTTTCTTTACAGTGTTTTTGTTTCCCTAGCCAAATACCCTCCGTTTTAGATCTGTTAAGTTTTAATCCTGACAGTGAACCAAATGTTTCAATCATGTTAAGAGCTTTTGAAATATCTTGTTTTGATTTGAGAAAAAGAGTGGTGTCATCTGCTAGCTGACTTATTTTTAAAGTATGGGTTTTTCCATCTATCTTGATTTCAAATCCTTTAAGGTTATGGTCTTGCCTAATTTTACAAGCTAGAATCTCCACAGCAATAACAAAAATTATCGCACTACATGGACAGCCTTGACGTATTCCACGATATATACTCATGGGTTTTGAAATCCACCCATTATTTAAAACTGAACTTTTTATGTCAGAATATAAAAGTTTTATCCATCTCATCATAGAATTTTTAAATCCAAATTTTTGTAAAGCAAAGAACATAAAACCCCACTCTAATGAATCGAATGCCTTTGAAAAATCTAAGAATAATAAAGCGCCCTCTATATTAAATTTGTCTGCATAATCTATGACATCTTGAATTTGTCTAATATTATATGCTATATATCTGTTTTTAACATACCCATTTTGATCTCCATGAATAATTTGGGGTAATATTTTGATGATTCTTTGAGCAAGTGAATAAGCGACTAATTTTGTGTCAGCATTCAATAATGTTATTGGTCTATAATTGTCTAAACTGAGAGGATCATTTTTTTTTTATGTAAAAGGGAAATAGCTCCTAATTTTTGTGAATTTGTTAACTCCCCTTAATCAATTGAGAAATTAAAAGTTTTGACTGCAAACTCTTTAAGATGTTCCCAAAATGTTCTATAAAATTCTACACTTAAGCCATCAATTCCTGGGGCTTTATTTAGTTTCATTTTAAATAATGAATCTGTGCATCCTTGAGTGCTTAATAAACCTTCCATACTATCGCCTTCTTTATCTGTTAGGACATGATCACATTCTGTATTCATAACATAATCTTTTATAAAATTTTTATTGGGATTTGAACTTTTATAAATTTCTTCATAAAATTCCTTTTCAAGATTTAGTATTTCTGTAGGATGTGTATGTATCACCCCCTCTCTGTCCCTGAGCACTGTTATAGTTTTTCTTGTTTGCCTAGCTTTTTCTAGTCCCAAGAAGAATTTTGTGTTTTTTCTCCTTCTTCTACCCACTTAATTCTAGATCTTATTTGTGCTCCTTTTGTTTTTGAATCATATAGTTTACCAAGTTTTTCTTCTATAATATTAATTTCCTCTTTAAAAGAGTTAATAACATCCTTTTTACATTTTTTGTTTGTACCCTCATTTAATTTCTTCAATTTGTTTTCTAAAATATGTATTTCTTTTACATTATTTTGTGATTTTCTTTTGCAGAATGCTATGGTGTGGACTTTTTCACTGGAATGCGTTGCCAAATATGCTTACCTGAACAATTTCCATCATGTGATCACCTAGTTGATTTGTCTGAGATGGTTTATTTTACTTTACAAAATATTGTCCTAGGCAGGGCATTAGACATTATGAGGAGAACAATTTAGATTATGAGACTAGAAGATAAGAGTTGTACCTGATGGGTGCATGCCCAAGGCCGCTACACATAAAAAGTACAGTACCCAGAAGTACCAAGAATGCATTTTTTTTCCTCCTCAAACAAATTGTCTCTTTTTTCCTTTTCCTTTAATTACTCATATACAGACTACTTCAATCTTATCAATTTCATTTTTTTTATTAACTGTTAACGCAGTGCAAGCAGTATTTCAGAAGTATAGTGGTCTATGAAAACAATGCTTTGTATCCTGTAGATGTACATTTTGGCAACAGTATTAATATTAAACTATCATATTATGCATCTTTATGGACAGTTTGATCCTACTGCCTAATGTCATGGACAGGACCTGATACTCAAAAATGTTAGGTTATGACATCATGTACCAGCGCAGCAATGTCACGTGTTGGTGTCCCTCTGCATTTAATTATTATGTATCAATGAAATGCACTTCATTCATACAACCGAACAACTATCATGTTTTAAATGTGTAAAAATAGTTTAACTAATATTTGCAGTTTAATTGATATTTTCAGCTTAAAAAAAATATTGTTAGGACAAATTGCAGACAAAAAATAACGGCATTTTATCATGTTTGTTTTGATACTGACTTCATCAGCTGGCCCTAGTGGGTTAGTTTGATATTCATGCCGATATTCAGTATCAAAAACAAAAATGCCATTATTGATTATGTATGCCCCTTCAAGAGGTCTCAATTAAAAATTTAGTATGTTTATAACATCAATGTTCATAAGACATAACTGTATAAATCTTTTACAACCATGTAAGTTTTGTGCATCTTTCATGAAAAATAACGATAGGACGTCAAAATACAGTAGATTTTATAAAGGATGCATTTCATTCAAGTTATATAATTCACATCTGGTTTATATTGAAAGACATTACAGCAAATGATGGTCCATTCATCAGCAACAAATCAAACTTTTCCGCCATGCTTATCGCTTATATCAACAAATGGAAACAATGCTACAATATTGTTCAAAAAGCGATTGTAATTTTCTTAAATAAATTCCCTGATAACATTTTGATGTAAAAAAAATCAATTTATTTTCTAAATAATTGACAATTTGGAGAAATTCAAATATTTTGGTAGAGCGTAAGCGGTTGATTTTGATTTTGGAGAATGGCACGAAATTTAAATTGTATTTTACTGAAATAAGCAGCAGTATACACTGAAGAAGTCATTTTAAACGGGTACACATGTAAGATCTAAGTTTTAGACAACTTTGTACACTGAACAATTTCTATGAATAATTTGAAATTCAAGAGACTTAATAATATTCCTGGTAAGTGAAATGTCCTCTCGTCTCGATGTAAATCTATACCATTAGCTTGTTACCCTTTCCTAGGACTAATATATAGTGTTATAGTCCCAGCCCTTTTCCTGTAATATCATATATATGCTACATGCCATTGTGTTACCTATGAGTTTTTGATACTGTAACGTGTTAGCATGGTTAGTGTTACATCTAAAAAAAAATCTCAATTCTAAGGTTCATCATAACCTTTTGGCTAATACGGCCATATTTACACCACAAATTTTACTACGATTACAGACAGACCTGTGCACCTGGAAAAGTTTTAAGGCATGGCAGGAACTAGATAATTAAATTTTAAATGCATTTTGTTTCCGAACATGCAAAAAATTGTAAACTTTTCTGGATTTTGCTATTCATTTTTTTTCATTCCTGCAGAAGGTGCCAAAATAAACAAAGTTGGGAAAGATGTTTGAGAAGCTCCCCTTATATAATAAATATTTTGAGTAGTATTGATTTAAATGGACACTACAATTATGTGGAAGTTTAGTATACTCCCCTGACTGCCACCTTAAATGCGTCCAATTCTGGGACGGCTATCACAGGCGGTGGTAGTTGGTTCCATAGTATGATTGTTCGTGGAAAGAATGAGTATTTGTACACATTGACAAATTTTCCTAATTGTCTGAAGTTTCCATGCATGACTGTGGCGAGTTGATTTTATTTCTGCCATAGTAGGGTGATGTTGTATAGGCACGGCAATAAGGTGGTGGACTACCTTATACAAGAGGATTACGTCAGATGTTTTTCGCCTCTGGTCTAATGTTTCCCAATTTAGATTTTTTACCATTTCTGTTATGCTGTCTGGTTTTTTGTAATCGTGTGGTTTATTGAGGACAAATCTTGCTGCGTTCTTTTGTATGGATTCTAATTTATTTATGTTGTTGTTTGTGTGAGGATTCCAAATTGTTGAGCAATATTCTAATTTTGGTCTCACAAGGCTGGTATATGCTCTTTCCTTTACACTAGGTGGACAGTGTTTGAGGTTGCGCTTTAGGAAGCCTAGGACTCTTGATGCTTTCTTGCAAGTTTGGTCAATGTGCAGATTATACTTCAGGTTGTTGCATAGTTCCACTTCAAGATATGGCTGATGGCTAACCTTTTCAAAAGTTTCACCTTTCATTTTATAGGTGAAATCTGTCTTCGATCTTTTGTTTGTGGCCTGCATTATTGCGCATTTGGAAACATTGAATTCCCTTTGCCATGTGCTGGACCAGTTAACAAGTGTGTCAAGATCTTCTTTCAATAGTCATGATAGTTGATGATCATTTTCTGTGTGAATTGGTCTGTAGATTACACAGTCATCTGCAAACAAGCTTGCAGTGGAATGGAGATTGTCTGCGATGTCATTGATGAAAACAAGGAATAATGTTGGTCCAAGTACTGTACCCTGGGGAACCTTGATGTTACAAAGGAACACCTGGAAGATTCCCCACCTACAACTACCTTTTGGATCCTGTTGCTGAGGAATGTATCAATCCATGTTCTGGTTGTTCCATATCCACCAATGCCATAATATTGCAACTTCTCTGAAAGCCTTTTGTGAGCAACTTTGTCGAAAGCTTTTGCAAAGTCAAGGATTGCTATGTCGACTTGGATATTGTTGTTCATCCATTTGGTGATGTCGTCTGTGGTCATCAGAAGTTGGCTTTCGCATGACCTTTTTGCTCTAAACCCATGTTGATTTTCATTGACGATATTTTGATCGTCTAGATCATGTAGATGGTCCATAATTTGAGATACTATAATGTGTTCTAGTACTTTTGATGCCACTGATGTTAATGACACTGGCCTGTAGTTGGATGGTTTTGAACGATCTCCTTTTTTAAATACTGGTACAATGTTGGCATTTTTCCAGTCCTCTGGGATTTGACCTGTGTTGATTGACTGCTGATAGATTCTTGTAAGTATTGGTGCAATGATGTTGGCTGTTTCTTTTAGTATTTTCACCGGAATTTATCAGGGCCTGTTGCTTTACCAGGATTTAGTCTATTTAGTGCTTTTTCTACTCTTTTTTCTCCAATTGTCATGTCTTTCATTGGTATAAATGGTGAGTTTCCTTTTGATGGTATGTTGCTGGTGTTTTCTGTTGTAAATACTGATGTGAACTGATTATTTAGCAGTTCAGCCTTCTGTTCTGCTGTTTCAGCTGATACTCCATTGTTCTTAAGAATACCAATTCCCATTGTGTCTTGTTTCTTGATTTGATGCTTTTCCAAAATTTTTTACTGTTGTTGTCTTTTTCTGGATCTAACATGTTATTAAGGTAGTCCCAGTAGCTTTTGTGTAGTTTATTCCTTATCAAGCTTCTGATGTTTTTGAAGGCTTCTTTATGTGATGGTTTCTTGCTTTCTTGCTCTTGTTGTACAAGCGTTGTTTTTTCCTGATAAGTCTTTTGATCTCTGTTGTCATCCATGGTACGTCGTGGTGTTTCCCTATTTTCTTTTTTGGTATATGTCTATCAATGCAGGTTTCGATGGCCTCTTTGAACTGTGCCCAGTTTTCTTCTACTGAGTGCATATTTTGTACTGATTTGAATTCTAAAATAAATTTGTTTTTGAGTGATGTGAGATCTTGTATGATTTCTTCCCAGTTGGCGTTTTTATAGTTGACTACTGATCTACTTTGCTGTTTAACGATTTTCGGTGTTATATTTGTTAATACTGATAGGATGTCGTGGTCACTTTTCCCTATGGGTGGACATGTGGTGGTTCTAGTTATGAGTGTTGGATGTGACATTACCATTAGATCTAATATTCTGTCATTTCTTGTTGGTAGGTTGTTGATTTGTTCCAAATAAAAGTTGTTCAACATGTTTATCAAGATGTTGCTTTGCGATATATATTTCTCCCTCCAGGAACCGTTCCACCTGTCTCCCAGTTGATGTCACCAAGGTTGAAGTCGCCTCCTAAGAATATTTTGGCATTTCTGTATCTTTTATCACTTTTGATCTTTGAAAGTGATTTTTCTAATTCATGTAGTGCTTTCTCCTCTGAGTCAGGTGGTCTGTAAAAGGATCCTATAAGTATTTGGTCTTTTTCGTTTGGTATAATTTCAATCCATTTTATTTCACATTCTGTGTCTAAATCGGGGCAGTCATCTGATTTTATGTCTGGTCTTACCATTATCAGGACTCTTCCATCATTTTTGTCTAAGAGTTCTTTCCTGTCTTTTCTGTATATTTTGTACTGGTGGCTACTTGGTATGTCATGTGGTAATATTTCAGCATTGTTATAAGCTGGATCCAGATGTATTTCTGTACCAATTATTATTTCTGGAGATGAACTTGATATGATGTTTGACAGTTCAGTGCCTTTATTTGTTATACTTTGAAAGTTGATCGTTAGTTGTCAAACAATAGGTGATTTTAACTGCGTAACTGAGTGGACTGTATCAAATGAAACTCATGTGTTTGTTTATTTTGCTATCTTCTGCAGACTGGAAAAAAATGCACATCAAAATCCAGGTAAGTTTTTAATTTTTTGACACATAGACTACATATAACTTTTATATATCTAGGTCCTGCCATGCCTTAAAACTTTCCCAGATGCATCAGTTTGTCTCTACTCATAGTCAATTTTTTGGTGTAAACACGGCCATATTTTTCAATTCCTTTTGATGAACCTTAACAAATATGTCTACTATCAGTGCTTACCTGCTTTGGTTGCTCAGAATGTTTCTGTCCTTGAAAAAAAACCACTGGTATGAGGTGTGGAGACTAACTCATTTAAATTTTCCAGACTGTTTTTTGCTTTTTGCTCTTGTTTATATGCTTTACACAAGTTAATCAGAATTTTCCTCACTATAGCAATTTTTTCTCTGAAAACTTACATATTTCAGCTTTGAGATTATGTTATAAAAAAGTAGTACACCAATAGAGAAAATACCAGGGGTCAGCTGAAGAAATACTTCTCATAGTCATTCTAAAATTTTGTCTTTAAAGTTATCTCCCTTTGAATTTTGAAATCTGCAAGCTTCAAAAAAATGATTTAAGATCCAAAACAACTTTTGATTTTCTGAAACTCCCAACTGAATAAATAGATATAAGAAGATGTGGTATGAGTGCCAATGAGACAACTCTCCATCCAAGTCAAAATTTATAAAATTAAACCATTATAGGTCAAAGTACGGTCTTCAACACGGAGCCTTGGCTCACACCGAACAGTAAGCTATAAAGGGCCCCAAAAATTACTAGTGTAAAACCATTCAAAAGGGAAAACCAACGGTCTAATCTATATAAAAAACGAGAAACACTTATGAACCACATCAACAAACGACAACTACTGAACATCAGATTCCTGACTTAGGAAAACTTGTTTATATCATGGTCCAACTAAATGTATCATGGCCTTGTCTTTAAACTTTTCCAGAGCACATGTTTGTCTTACTCAGAATAAATTTTGTGGTGTTTACAGCATGACCATAATGGCATATTAATCAATAGAATGTTGTCTGAAGATATATTTAATACAGGCAATTATAATTTTAGGGATTTCTACTGTTCCCTAAAGGGACTAAAATGTCATGGGTCAATGAAGAGCAAAGGGAAGTACACTTTTACAATGTTGAATTTTATGTTCATGCCATGGGAATAGCAATTCTAACATTGCAATTATGAATTAT